TTGTTTTTGAGTCGAGACTATATGCATTATGTAGAACCAAATGAACTACCAATATCCTGAAAAGAGTTCGTATCCTTAGCTTATTGCTATGGAGCTACTGCACTTTTAAGGTATTTTTTAAGTGAATGCCGTGGTAACAGAAAAATTCATTTTTTGAATTTCGACTTGAAACTTTGCATAGAGATAGGCCTTGACCAGAATAGTTTTTTGTGAAAATTCCAGGTCCTTTGACTGGCTTATATCCTGAAACAAGAACATCAAATCTACCAGTTTATATGAGCGATGTGGAAGACACACTATTACCATAGTCGTATCTTAGGACAGAAACAATGACAAGATCTGAAACATTCACCCATGCACTAAGGTCTGTCTCTATGTAAATTCGAAATTCGAGAATAAGTTTTTCTGATGTTCCTGAGAAGGACTACAGTATTCATTTTAAAAATTCTGTAAAAAATATGGTAGAGTTATAGCATAGAAGGTATAATGACTAGTGAGTATTTTTATTTATCATAAGAACAAATTTCATAATTTAGCAAGTTTAGAAAAATATAATGGTCGAGAAAAAAATAGTGATAGCACATATTGGAAAGAACAAAATTACAATAAGTAAGGAAATCTCCTTTTGTTTGAACAATATCCATTAACTAGATCTGATGATTCCATAGTTCGACGAGCAAAGTTGGAGGATACTTGACGATTCATACTAGTCGATAAAAAATTATTAAATGATAAAAGTCCACCTTTGGTTTTGACCAATTGATCAAAGTCAGTCTTTGACAGTCCTTGACCACGATAAACAATAAATGAATTCGAAATTGACTGTTCAGCAAACTGTTGAGCATGAAGCTCCGTGATGTTGTTGTGAAGATCATGAATAAAAAATCTCATGCTTACGATAAGATCGATCTCCATCATTCGTAATGATCGATTGAGCATGAAATACAAAAAACATGGGCATGTATACCACCAAATCGGAAGATGTTTGTGGTATGCTTGTTCAAGTTTGTTGATGTGATGAAGTTCTTTTGAATTACCAGCGAAAGTCTCGCGACAGTACGTGATAAATTCATTGATATGATGTTGTTCCCAATGAATAGTTAATAAAATTTCTTTCATTATTTGGGTGTACATAAATGAAGAATCTAATTGGTCGAGGTTTGGTTTGTTGCTTCCACTAATGGTGGTGACAAAACTGATCGATATCATGTTTTGATCACATTCCTGTGCTGCTTGTTGAAGGGCTTTACAGATCGGAGCAATGTCTATAAAGGTACCTTTTATTTTTGATCATTCTTTGGTCCAACCTTCATCCCAAGTTTGGTTCTCACTCCAAATATATACAGCATTGATTTGTGGGATGTTATGAATGGTGGGAAGAGTTGTATGCCCGAAGGCACCAGAAATGATCATAAATATTTTCTCTTCTTGAATGTCGGTTATAAAATCGATGCAGTCATCCAGATTAGTGAATGAATATATATTGCTCATCGCTTCTCTTAATTTGTTGATGGTACTGACGCAATCATTATTATTCACTTCATCGATATTGGCATCGAGCCACACCAGGACGAAGTTCTGAATCATACGAGCATAAGGAATCTGTCGTGATCTTACGTTGGTACGTTCAGATGGCGTGACAGCAGCAGTAGCAGTTGTTGTTGTAGAATTTTTCTTTTTGTCCATGGTATACGTGGTGTTTTATCTATGAAAAGAATAAAATAGAATGATTTGAGTTTATATAGTATGTTGGAATTTTTTTCTAGATGTTTCTATTTATTTTTCATTGTTGTTGTCCTTGGAGTTCTTTTCTTCTTTCGTTTCACGTAAATGCTTCACTCCTTTTTCTTTATCTTTCGTTGTCTATAGTGTCACAAGGCAATGAACGAGCAAACAAAAGATTGCAACATTACTTCATATCATTTATCACATTTCATTTTCCTTTAGTGATATCTGGAAGGTTTTTCTCTTCTTCTCCTTATGTTGCTGTAAATGGATTTGTCAATAGAAACAGTATGGCGCACATTGTTGTTTGAACATATATGATGAATTCTTATTTCAGTAGGTTTTTTTTGCTCAAGTGAGAGTTCAGTACCAAATGAAGTCGATGAAAGTATAGATAGAACGTTGATATTATGGTTAACAATTGTTTTTTTTAATGAAAAATCAAACAATTTTAACATAGAATACTAAATCTCCAATTTAGCGGAGAAAAACATGTTTCTATGATGTACAAAGTAGAACGATGAGTTTAATGCACATTTAATTATATACATCATAAACCAATGATTACGAAACAAACCGAGTTTTGTGCTAATTGAAAATCAATAGATATTGTGTCAAAAACCCATGAAATTTATAATACATTGATGCATGAGAATTCTTGCCTAAGTTTTTATTGATTTGTTTTATCTCCAATTTGTTCTGATTTTCTATCACTGAGCGAAATAAAACGCAGATGTCAAAAGAATCAATCCGCAATAGACTATATGTATGGTGGAATCGAGGGCTGTCAAAGATCCCGAAATTGTCCATTTTACTTAAAATCCGCTAGCGAATAGAAGGACTTTACTAGTCAATCAAAAGAACACCAAATTTATGCCACACTGATAGCATACCCAACTTTTCTATTGGTCAGCGGACTTTAGGGGGACTTCACTATAATCATACGTCACTTTTCTCTTAACAGAAGGACTTTTCTCTTTTCAATGGATTAGCATTACTTTTTATAAGAGGACTTTTCTATTATTCAGCGGAACTTTCGTTTTACTTAACGGACTTTAGGTTGACTTTACTATCATCATGTGTCACTTTTCTATTAGTAGAAGGACTTTTCTATTAATAGAAGGACTTGTCTCTTTTCAATGGATTAGCATTACTTTTTATAAGAGGACTTCCCTATTTCTTTAGCGGAACTTTCGTTTTACTTAACGGACTTTAGAAGGACTTTACTATCATCATGCGTCACTTTTCTTTTAACAGAAGGAGTTTTCTCTTTTTAATGCGTTATCATTATTGTTTGTAAGAGGACTTTTCTATTATTCAGCGGACTCTGATGGACTTTACTATCTTCATACGTCACTTTTCTTTTAACAGGACTTTTCGAGCACAATTCGATTCATTCGACTATTTTATCTATCTATGAAAATGAAAGAATATTAAGATAAAAATATAATTGAATGACATCTATAGAAATAGATAACCAATGATTTGACACATAATCATTTATTTTAAATAAAAACAAGAATAAAATGAAACAAAGAAATAAAAAGTAATGGTATAGATGCAAAAACATATTCCGAAAAATAATATTAATTATTTATTTCATGAGAAAAAAAAAATGATTGTATCATTTTCATACAATAGGTGTCTATAGATATCTAAATATCCAGTTTTATATAAAATAGAAGTCAGAAGGAAAAAACTTATTTCTTTCATCGAAGATGCATGAACAAAAAAAAGTTTCACTTAACTTCATATATAATAAGAAAATGAAGGAAAGAAAAAGAAATAGATGAATATGATAAATCGAAATGTTTTTATATTCACCTCGACAAATAAAATCATGTGAAAAGAAAAAGCCTGAAAAGAATAGAGATAGAAAAGTCCGCTGGAAGAAAGAAACATCCTCATGTCCATCACATACGTGCAATAGATTATTTCTCTGATTTAAATCTATTCAAATGTTCTTATATTCACCTCGATAAAAAAAATCATATGAAACGAAAAGTCCTGAAGAGAATAGAAAAGTCCGCTAGAATACAGAAATATCCGCTGGTGGAGTATTTATATTTTGCTCTTCCTATCGCTACTGATATACGTGACATTTCATAAGGTACGTAAAGTCCCACATATTCATAGGGGACTTTAGTTAAAATGGACATTTTTTGGACCTTTGACGTTGCTGAGAAATCGAAGTCTGTGATATTGTCATATCAACAGAAATCATGAATTGTGAACGAACAATGAACATAATTTATTGAATTATTTCGAATTAAATTTATGCTCTGACTGATGATAATATATAAAGAAATCCCAAGTCTAAGGAACTGGAAAAAATACACGAACAATCAATCACATACAAATCAACTCTTAAATTCTCTTTGAAAACAAAGAAATATGACGTTTAGCTAGCATTGTGAACCCTCTAGCAATGCTCAATAACATTTATCAACGAGAAAGTTAATTAAATCAATTATACTCATGTATAGTGATAGCGATTGAAGTTTGGTTGAAAATATGAGACTGACAAACACCTCGAAAAATGGTAGCAACATTCGATCTAACCATTATTTCTGCTGAGACTCATTTTCGGTATTTCGGAAAAAAACAAAGTTCTCACTTCAAAATCATCATTTTGTGATGGAACGAATTGAAAACAAATGAAACTTCATATGGAAGCTTCGAAAAAAACCGTAAAATTAGTTACATAGTTAGGATGTTGTTTATGTTTGACTGACGATGATCAAACTATCACACCTAAAAATAAGTTTTATAAATTTCAATTAACTATTAAGCAAAACAATAGTAATCATCTGTATACATAAATTTCAATAGGTTTTTTTTTAGGTCTCTCTGATGATTAACCAAAATAATTATTGTCTATTCAATTTTTCATTAGTGTCGTGCTAGTTACATAGATGTAAAAGTCTCGCGTGGTAAATTCTATTTCTCTTACGAATTACTATCCTTTAATTGCTAATACTTTCAGTAAGATTTTGTCGTAATAAATCAATAAACGAAAGAAAATTTATCACACACAAATATAACTTAAGGGAATTATAATGATATCATTTGATTCCATTGTCCAAGTCAATATGACTTGACTTTAGATTCACAGAAGATTTAATAGTTATTTATTGTTTCATTTTTTGTTTATTAGCGAATTTTACTCATTACATAATGATACTCTCTTATTTCATTATGTCAATTAGGATTAATTTATATTACTTTTATTATATTCATCAGATCTAAATGACTAATAATTTTGTTTTTTGTTTTTATTTCAGTTTCATCAATGCATCTGTATATAGATCAAATAGACAATGAACTGAACTTGATCGTTTTGCAATAGTTATAGGTGTTTCATTTAATTTATTTTGAATATTTACATTAATAAATGGATGCATAAGAAGAAGTTGAATTATTTGACGATTATTATTTTGTGATGCAGCTAAATGTAATGGTGTTTGTCCACCATTTGTTTGAGCATTTATATCAATACCATTTTGTAATAATAATGATCCTATTTCATAATTATTCCAAAATGCTGCACAATGTAATGCATTCCATTTATCATTTGTTAATGCATGAATATCAACACCAGATTCAAGTAAATATTCACAAATTTTTAACTGATTACCATTTGCTGAACGATGTAATGCTGTATAACCATCAGAATCACATGCATTAAGAAGTGATCGATCTTGATTAATATATTGTTGAACATGTAAAAGATTACCTTGTTCAACAGCTGTTAATAAACCTTTAACAGGATCACGAAGTATATCTTGTTTCGACCAATGTTCAATATCATTTTCATCTTGTTCCCAATAACTTTGCCATTTTGATGGTTCACCATTTTTCTTTTCAATAATTTCATTAAAAACACTTGCACTTAATTTATTTATATATTCTAATCGTTCATCTTCATCCATACCTTAAAAAAAAAAAATTTTTTTTTTATAACAAGTGAAAAAGAATTGTACCGAAAACTTGAATTCAATAAACTTTCGGCTTCAGTGACTAAGCTTAACATGTCTAAGAAATATTTTTAATAAAATGAATAAACTCTCAATGTAATTTCTGCTTTTTTTTAAAGGAACATTGTTGCTTCTCCATTATTCTCTTTTTGTCATTAAAGTAGATCGAAAACTTTCTTCTCGATAGTCGTAATTCAATAAAAAGTACTAACTATATTTCATCTAAATGATATAAAAAGATTCGCCCTCGCCGTTCCTATTCTTAACTTCTCGGAGCGGATCTTATAAAGATTGTTGAGTATACTCTCGGTTCAAAGCATTTCGCCGTCTTTACTCTAATTATATAATAATTTACGACTTTGTGTTATTAATAACTTTCTTGTAGTAAAAGAATATGGAAATAATAAAGCATTTAGTACCTATCTAAAATGTTGTTTAGACAACAAATTGTTTTAGATGTTCGATCATCTGTATGAGAAAGATATCAAGTCAATATTCATTTTTTCAATCGTTTAAAGGAGCCTGCAGAAATTCTGAAAACATTGAGTTGGAATCAATATTTTCTATTGATTTCTCTCGAACTTCTCGCTTAAGAATTATGAATCGACTTGCAAGAGGCATGAAAATTAAATGTGAATGGAAAAAATCGAGCTATTCTTTGCACAGAATTAAAGATAAGATTGTTCTCTACAATTTTTTATAGAGAAATATTTGATCTTTCATACGTTGTTTTTTTTTTAAGATAATTTTCGTCTATGCAAAATTAGAAATTCGAAAACAAACTTAAGATTCATCAATATCTAATTTTATTGATAAGACAAATTTATTACTCATTCTGAACAATGCTTCTCAAAGATGTTCATGATATTTAATTTGTTTGTTCATCTTTTTGAAAAAAATACCTTCCATTTCTTTTTGTAATTTTTTTTCCATATCATTACATGGTTGATTATTCATCATCTTGAAAATATAAATTATAAATATATATATATATATATATATATATAATTAAGCGCGTATTCTATAATACAAATTTTTCTTTATTTTTAAATAAGTTAGAAATTTTTTACATATGCATATGTATATATATTGAATTAATTACAAGAAAATAACAACATTAAGTGTAAATGAAAAAAGAACATAGGATAATAATAATTATCAAAAAACAAAAAAAAAAAAAAGAAAAAGAAACAATAAGCAAAAATCTTGTTTTATACAATAATTAATAGAGGAATTAAATCACGATAAGAATTCAAAACACAATAGAACATATTTTCATAATATTTAAAAACCCACCGGCACAGAAAAAAAAAGAACATGACAACGGACGGTTGTTGCCTTTATAGAGAGTATGCATGTATGAACCTAGATTTACATCATCTGACAAGTAAAGAATAAAATGTTTCAAAAGGCACTTTGTTTTTTTTTTTTTTTTCTATTTATAGTATAATACATCCTTCACAGCACCCAGTTGTTGTTGAATTCGGACTAGCAGTGTCTGATCGATGAGATGGTATAGCATTTTGTATATGATCAGCTGTTCGATCTTGATTATTGTCATGTTTATGTTTTCGTTTTTGATCACCATCAGTTGAATCAGGTAAATTTTCACGTGGAACAAGATGCATCACAGTTGTTTTGCCTTGTTGAAGACGTAAAGCTCCTAATGTGACATTTCCATGTAAAAATCTTCCTTGATAAATTAATCTTAATACTTCATAACGATCAACTCGTTGTTCATTTCCCCAATCTAATTAAAAATAAAAAGTTAATTAAAAATGAAAGAAATTAATTTTATCTTAACCATCAGGCCAATTTTCAAAAACATGTTTAGCTACATCAGATGCTGTTGTTGTTGGTCGAAATTGAAATTCAGCTGTTTTACCACTAACAAGAATTAGTTTGAGATTAATCTTTAATAAAAAAAAAAAAAAAAAAAAAAAAAAATGATAAATGAAACATTAAAAAAATATTTTTTTTCTATACTTACTGTATCGGACGGTGAGGATTTTGATCCCATTGATAAAAGAAAAAGATCATCACGTCTGATAAAACATTATTTTCAATGACAATGATTTAGATATAAATAAATAACAAACATGTCCAATACACTTGTCTATGTCGCTACAATCGATGTTATTAAAAAAAATATATTTAAATATATATAGTTATGATATGAAAATCTTTTTATTTTTATTTTATAAAAAATTTAAATTTATTTTGAATAGAATTTAACAATTGATGAAATAAATTGACCAATCAAAAAAAGGCAAAAAGAATATTGCTTCTATTGAATAAAACTTTCTTTTTTTTTTTCATTTTATTATTTCTTTAATTATGAAATTAACACAAAAAACTATTTTTCAATGTTTCGATAAATCTCAAAGACAATCACCAATAACTTTAAATGATCAAGATGAAGGTATAGTTTTTAAAAATTCATGAAATTTTAAATGAAGTAGAATAAATTATTTTATTTGCATTATCGAACTCATGTTAAGAGAAAAATATTTGTATCCAATATAGAAAATGAATTTTTTTATTAGATATAATTGAATGTGAATCTGAAATAAAGTCATCTAATGATGAACAAGAAATTCATCTTCCACAATCTGATTTTCTTTTACCTGTTCATATACGTCAAGAAGAAAAATCTTCAGAAAATAATTCTATTCATTTACTTAATCAATGGAAATTAATTGATTCAAATGATGATATATCATTGAATTATTTTCAAAATTTTTATCGGATTTGTCCAACAATTAATAATAATGAAACAAACTTGCCAAAACTTCAAGTATATTAATCGAATTCTATATATATATTCTATAAGATAATTTTTTTTTTGCATATGTAAATATTAAAGTTTACTCATATTCCATCAATTGAACGTCAAATGGAATTATTTCAACAATATACAAATGATGATTTAAATTTTGATGTTCAATCAACAATTGACTGGCAAATAATGTTTCAATGTTTAAAAGATTATAGAAAAAAAGCAATAGAACAACGTAAAATAATAATCAATTTATTCTTTAGTATATCTTAAAAAAAATAAATAAATTCTTCATCATATAGATCAATATGAACAATTACCATGGACAGAAATTTATCGTCCACGAAATTCAAAAACTTATCTTGGTAATCGCAGAAAACAAATTCGACGTTTAAATCAATGGTTTTTATATTGGACAAAAAAATTACGTAATGAACCATTGAAAAAAAAAGGACGAAAACGAGCAAGAGATTATGATGATAATTCTGATGAAGATTTTATTAGTGATTCAAGTAAGTCTAATAAAAAAAAAAGAATATTCAACAAAAGTCTAATAGATTATCATAATATTTGAATATATCGAATCAACATATTTTATTCTATATATACAAATAATTTAATATTATTATTATTTAGATAAAGCATGTCATAATCGCTGTCAATTTAAACAAGAATATCCACAAATAATTTTTATTCATGGTTGTGGAACAACATCACTTGTACATGCACTTGCAGAAGAACATAATTTTAAAGTATGCACATGAAAAAAAAATGTATATAGATTATGTATGATGACATAACACTTTGTCATTAGTTGCTAATAGCCAAACGACGAACTTTTATATTAGCGAAATGATACTCAAGCTACTTTGACGCTAAAATATAGAACTCACTGTACAGCGACAGTTGAGACTTTCATATCGGAGTTTTTGAAGAAATCGACAAACAACTACAACATTTGATTGCTAATGAGCTCTAAGAAAGAACTCTGATGTTGAGATTAGCGAGAACACCCTGACCCTGCTAGGATCGGGAGTCAATAATTGAGGATGCTCTCCGAAAGATGACTTTCGTTTTCCTATAACATAAAGTTATTTACTTTCACAGTTAATTAAAGAGTAAAAAGAAGAACAGAGAAAAACAAAAATATTTGACCGGCAAAATTCAAAGCTGCACTAATTCAATAGAGTCATCTCGTTTCTTTATAGGCATCTTCGATGTTCTTTTCGTATTAACAACTTTAAAATCATCCTTTCGTTTTATATACACATGAAGAGAAAGGAAGATAGAACAGGATACCTTGTTATTTTCACAATTTATTCCCTTAGACTGACTATAGTTATCAAGACTTGTCTACATTTCTCTGTCAACATAACGCCGTGCATGTTAGATATCAATTACTAATGAAAAAAAAATTTGTCGAGATCGAGAAGAAATTTGAAAAAAATTGGGTTCCGGAGCTAAAAAGTTTGGCCTTGCTGATCTCCATTCTGATGCCTACTGTTCTCCATTGCTATGGGAATATATCCAATAACTTTTGACCTTAGGCGTTATGAATGTGAGAGCGAAGGATAATCTCGATTTAAAACATACACTCACTATTCTTCTTCGAAAAATATATGCGAGTACCAAAAAAAAAATGATTTTTATACTAGAATTATTTTGATAGTAATCTAAACTATCATTAATTGTATGGTAGCGTATTCCTTCCTTTAAATTATAGTTTATCATGATTGTAGACTCAACGCGAATCTTAATTAAAATTTTTTGAGCATCTTACGTATTTCCGGTACGTCTATTGTCAGACATCTTCTTTTGTTTATATTTCTCTAACAAGGAAAGATCTCCAAATAATAAATTGCTTTCTATATTTAATCAGTAGGTAACTACTCTAGAGTGTTTTGACCTTTGTTGCTAATATATGGAATTTTGACTTTGTTCATATAAAGGTTTCGATGACTCTCCGCAACTTGGAAACCTTCCCTCTCATTTAAGATACATCATGAATCGTTTCTTAACTTAACACAACAATTTTTCGCTTAAATATTACGGACAAATATCGATAGCGATTCTTATTTTTTTTAGGTAACAGAAATCAATGGAACTCAATCACGTGCACGTACATCATTACTTAAACAATTAGAACAAGTTACTAGTCATCATTATCTATCATTGAAACGTTGTTCATCAGATACGATAATATCAAAAGGTAAAAGAAAAAAAAACGATTATTATTTAATAATTTGAATATCTTAAAACACTTCGTTATATTATTAGAAGATAAATCAAAAGAAAATATTTCATTACCTTTAAAGAAAAAAGCAAAAAATGAACGTGGTACAATAATGTCATTTTTTAATAATAAAAAAGTTGATCATAATGATGAACGTAAAGAAAATAAATCTCGTAATCAATCAAAATCAATAAAAAAATCTAAAACTATAATAACAAGACAAAGCAAAATAAAACAAGAATCTATTTCAATTGATAATTATACAGTATCATCTGTTCATGTTGAAAAAACATCTTTAATACTATTTGATGAGGTTTGAAATTTTGATAAAGAAATAAAATATTTTCATAACTTTTTTTTTTTCCTTTTCTTTAGATTGAAACATTAACAACAGATGATAATTTTTGGTCATGTTTAAAAAAAATTCTTGAAACAGCTAAAAAACCAATTATACTTACATCAAATAGTAGAAGTAATCCTGAAGATTCTATAATTAATTTATCTAAATTAGGAGATTATGAAATGATTCATCTTGAACCAAATGAACCTGTAAATAAATCTTATTAAAATAATTTTTTTTATTTTTGTGTATTTTTTTTGTTTTTGTTTTCGAATAGAAATATATTTATTGTTTTCTTCGATTAATACTTTTGGTTGAAATGCTTGAAATACCTTCATTTGATGATTTAATATCACTTTGTCAATTATATTCATATGATTTACGTCGAATTTTATTAACACTTCAATTTCTTGCTCAATCATCAATAATTTCTATATCATCAGTAAATAAAACTTTAATTAATAATAATAATAAACCAAAATTACAATCTTCACATATATTTGATACGATGTTTTATTCTTATCTTCGTGAACAATGGAATGAATCAATACTTAAAATACATTTTGATAATCTTACTATAAAATATACATCAGAATATGAACAATCTTATCGATTATTAACAAATCATAGTAAAAATGATTCTAAACGGTAAATAAAATTTCATATGAAATTTTAAAAAAACTTAATATATATTTTTTTGTTTTTATTAAATTTTTAGAATCGAATTGTATGATAGATTTAAAATTTTTATGCAAGAACAAGAAGTTGATAATATCACTAATCGTTCAGCATTTTATCTTGATTATCGACCATATATAAGACAAATTTGTCAAAATGAACAAATTCGTGCTACAGAATCAAATTCTAGACGACGGTATACTTTAAAAAAATTTATGTTTGTTCTATGTAGATATTCAATCATAATTTAAACGAATTGTTTTTTTTTTCGAAATCATAATCATTACCCTACTGTGGCAGATACGAAGGAAGGAAGAAAACTGCTGTTTTGCAGTATAGGATGCTATCTACAATTAATACTAGTTTTAGCTCTGGACAGAAGGTCGACCTGAAGTAGAGTTCTCGCGCTCCCTATACACACTAACTAACTGAAGAGTAGATGTGTCACAACTTAGTCAGTGTGTTATTGGACGGATGATCTGAGACAACCACCCGTTAGTGAATTTACCCAGGGTTATTCGATGGTTGGTAGTATCAAAGTTTGAACACAGTATCTTGTGAATAAATGTCGAAAAGTGTGAGGACGGCCCCAAACCTAAACCGTAGGAATTGAATTTTTGAATTTTCATAAGCTCTTACTTAGTTACTGAATAAATTATGAGGCGTAGGCTATGTCTACATAGATTACTATCCTACAGGTAGAGCTCGTCGGACCCGGATCAGAAAATTTTGAACCCGATGGGCTATACCTACAGATCACGTCTTTCATGATTAATTTCGCTATGTATTTTTTTTCGAAGTGTTTGTAACATGAAAATCAAAGCGTCGCACAGTCCAAATTTTGAATTTCGAAAATCTTTTTTTTTGACTTTGATTCTTTATAAGTTGTATGTTATTGAATAAGTTCTTTTCCAATGAATATATGTAAAAATATTGATTCTTTAGATCCACAGCTAATTAAACTTAATTTAAACGCAATAATCTTACAAT